TCAGATTGCGAGTCGAGTGTCCTAACCACCTGGCCATGCCGAGCCTCCTGGATTATGTTGCTAGAGAGAAACTTTAAGCTATGGGTGTATTATAAGAGTGACAGTCAATCCCTTAGCGTGGCTGCTTGGTTACGGGATGCTGCGGCAGATAACCTTAGAAGCTTTGTCACAAATACAAATGATTTAAGTGTCAGAAAAACATTAAACCTGAAAAACAAACAAGAAAATGAACAACAGTCTGCTAGTTTTATAAATGCAAGACGAAGAATACGATTTTTTTATTATTGAAAGAAGTGCATTCCTGAAATTACAAAATTTTCATGGATCAACACATGTGACCCGTTCACAATTTCTGACGTTCTTCGTAAAGTATTTTATCAACCATCAGCTGTCGCTATAAGAAGTCACTTTGGTATCTTGCAGCTTGTTTATTTTAAAGGAAATAAAAAATAAACACACTACAAACCCAACTACATGATGTTACAATCAAGCTAATTTTATTTTTCAAGTGTTTTTAGAAATTTTGAGAACAATCTGATAATGCGGTACTTTAGAATATTTTCGACATTAGCCTATATAAGATTAAAAACTAGGTTGTCAAAATCAACCCGTTTATCAGATGGTTTCTGACGCCACATAAACGTACAACCAGATCTATATCTGCACACCTTGTTTGTTTGTAATTAAGCACAAAGCTACACAATGGGCTATATGCGCTCTGCCCACAACGGGTATCGAAACCCGGATTCTCGTGTTGTAAGTCCACAGACATACCGCTGTGCTACTGGGGGCTGCACACTTTCTTTAATTATTCCATTCAAGTTTTCATTAATTTCTATATTTAATAACAATGCAATAAATTACGTTTCTGACACAAAACATTCCGACTGATAGACTGTTAAACCAGTAAACTAAACCGATAAATTATTACTAAACATTTAGCAAAATAAACTGTCGTTTTTCAACAAACGTATAATATATCCATAAAATTCTGTTTTATATAAAAATGTTTTGGCACTTAAATTAAACAGATTTCCATATATATATATATTTATCTAACGAGAAATTATAAATCTGTATGTCATCTTCTGGTAACTAACTTTACGGTTGAATGCAATAAAGTGGGGAAAAAACAACAACATTCACCATATACAAATACTATGTATGTATATGATAACAAGTTACCATTTTCATCGCTACAAAGAAAAAAACAGAATAAATGCGATTTAAGAACTTACAAACTCGTTAACCTAATTGTATAAGACTATTTCAGTTAGATTTTGTTTTTAAGTCTGGAATTCCGTATTAGCTGCTTTTATTTTATTCGTCTGTGGTAGACAACATTTCGGACTTTAAACTAAGGCCCGAGACAGGGGGCAATACATAAAAAGATTCTAGTCCAACAATTTTCAGACCAGACGTACAATAACAGAACGCAAGACGAATATGAACTAGACATAATAAGTCTATTAAAAGTTTAAATAAAAATTACAATTCTGTATAGGTGTACGTTAGTGTTCTCCAATCGTAAAACGCAAGCTTTGGATACTTGCATACAACAGGAAAATTGTCTTTTTGCAATTCGGAAACCAATTTCGTGAGCAATGCAATTAAGAACAACAATTGCATCGAATTCACAGCATTGCCCCCCGCCCCCTTTCAACATGTAATGTTAACGGTACTGGCATTTTCATCCTGAGTGGTAACTTGGGGTTGTATGGGTAAATGTTCAAGTTTAGAGATTGTTGTCTCTAATTTAGAAGTGCTCACCAGGGAGAGACCAATTCTACAGCAGCGCCTTTCACTTAGCAATTAAATATCGGAATCGACAGCCGCTCACACAGCTAAAAGTGCGAAGAACAGTAGTAGAGTGCAACTCGAACCTTGGGCTTTACGATCCTTAGCTCAGCATGCTAACCACTAGGCAACATTCGCCTAGATGTTAATAGAAACCATAATGAAGTCAAGATTTGTTTGTAGTTAAGCACAAAGCTATGCAATGGGCTATCTGTGCTCTGCCCACCACGGGTATCGAAACCCGGTTTCTAACGTTTCAATCACATATAAAATATGGAATGTTTGAAATTCTCTAGCGCTTAGCCCTAATTATACACAAACCTGTCATAATTCAAATTTAATAGACGTCCACACTATCTACGTTGTTTGATTAAACTCGCTGTACTACTAGGAAAGTCAAAGAACTGACTGAACAAAAAGTTTTTATCTTTGACGTCCGTTCATGATCTGGCGAACAATTATTGATACCATATAGAGTTTAGGGTTAGCTCTTGTAAATCTAGCTATATAAATTATACAGAAGACAAAAATAGGAATCACATGGCATACAACCATAAAAAATTGAAAGCCAACCAAAAGAGCTATTTATGCGTTAATAACACCTGTATAATGATGTTATTATTTTTCACGAACGCGTTACACTATAAAGCTATTAAGATTACAAATATTTAAACACTTTCGTTTGCAGATGTTACCGCCCTCTAGTGATCATATTTTAAACAATGATCTTAATTTATATTTAAAAAAAATATATATATAATGGTTCAAAAGCTTTCAATCATACACACACACTTAGTTTAAAAAATAACTAACAGATAGCGCTTGTGACTGTATAATAAAAATATCAAATCAAGAGCGATTACCAATTTGCAGTTTAGCGGCTTTTGAACATGTATTTGACTGTTAAAACATTACATCACATGATCAATATGACAAGTATTTAGTTGTCTTCCACCGATGTTCCACTAACAGGACATTCAAGGAACACTTTGGGGCATTGTTTCTCTAGTTTGAAATATTCCATAGAACATAATATTTTTTTTCTTTGTTTGGTGTTGGTGCTGTTGTTGTTTCCAGTCACTCGTGTTTTTCTTGCCCAACACAAACTAGCAGCTTCTGTGTAAAATACGTTATCCCTTCTGTAATAAAACCAGATAAAATATATTTTACTCAGTGATTCCAGTACTACTCATTAAGCAAAATCACACACACATATATATTATAATAATAATATCCAGTTTTGTCTGACCTGACCATCTAAATGCATATTCGCGCGCACTTCATTTCAACGGATGTAAACAAAAGGCGGATTTGGATCTACTTTAGTAGACATTTTGTACAACAACATAATAAAAAAATATTAAAGGTTTTAAAAGGTCATAGAATAACTTTGTAAGTTTATTTATTGATAGTATTATGTACGATAAAGTTCAGCTCTAACTAAGCTAAAGCAAACAAGAGGGGAACCTCAGTAGCCGCGGCTGTAATTAGATCTGAAGTAGATCAAGAGCTGGAACTATGATGTAAAAGTTTGTACTTGGAAAAAAACACTCAAGTGGAAAGATTATCAAAGTGACAAGCAGTAATTCTTCAAATCAGATCTAGAACGTCTATTGGCCAATGCTCTGCTGCTGAAAGGCAACCATTGGCTAGCGTTCTAAAACACAAAGTGACCCAAACATTCATTGGATATCGTTTTGATGTAAAAATGCGATCCAGAATATTCATTAGTTAACATTCTGGTGCAGAAAAAAAAAGAGATTGAATATAAAAACATTTTACGTAGCATCTATTTACAAACATCCAAATAAAAAAATTGATAAATATAAAGTTCAGAACATTCACTGACTAATATTTTAATCACATTAAAGGGTTATGCCATTAAAAAAAAAAACCATAAAAACTAGTGCCGAAATTACTGACTCAACCCTGTTTTTTTTATAGTATTTGTACTCTTATTACACGTTACTTACCGATTATCCTTCTGTACAGCAGAGGTTTCTTCTCCCACTTAACTGTGAGATAATAAACAGGTACCCCAGATAGGGTTAGGACGAGACTCATTCCTGTGTCCCATGGGTTTACGTAGAAAGGGAGGAATACCAGAAACCCACATATCAGCAGGAAAACGATGGGTACTAGGATGTTCAACTAAGACGAAGGAAGGTGAAAATTTAATCAGAAGTACTGAACTAAGATAATGGAATTAAATACAAAATAATTAAAGCTATAAAATTTATATCTATAAAATACAAACAAAATATAATTACTCTTACGAAAGAGACTTGTACACTATGTTATACTAGTCTCTGATAACTTTTTTTTAATTGTTTAACGCAACTCAAATTATTTATATGAAGCGCCCTCTATATGTTGTAGTTCGATCTATAAACGCTGCCATTGAAATACCATCGCTGTTCACTGAACAGCTCCTTGATCTACGACAAAGTTTAAGTTTTCTGAAACGTTTGAAATCTTACCCTGTCTTGTAGCTTTAGTAAAGCGAAGTGTGTGTTTAAGAATATATAAGTATATAAAAATTAGCGTTGTCTTCGCACAATGATCAGACATGCTAATGTAAAGTCGTATGGAAAGTATCTTTAGCATAGATAGTTTGTTTAGTCAGTGTTTTGGCATTCAACATTCGTCTGGTTGGCTCCAGCATGGGGATCAATATGATGTTCAAAACCTGTCTGGCAGTTCTTGTCCAAACAAACCTAGTTAAGGTTTACTGTATAAATTATATCCCTGGTTAGCTTGCTCGGACAGGAAACCCGAGGTTTCACGGTTAGTGTGCTCGGACAGTGAACCTAGGGTTTCATGGTTAGTGTGTTCGGACGGTGAACCTATGGTTTCATGGTTAGTGTGTTCGGACAGTGAACCTAGGGTTTCATGGTTAGTGTGCTCAGACAGTGAACCTAGGGTTTCGTGGTTAGTATTGCTCTGACAGTGAACCTGAGGCTTCATGGTTAGTGTGCTCTGACAGTGAACCTGAGGCTTCGTGGTTAGTGTGCTCTGACAGTGAACCTGAGGCTTCATGGTTAGTGTGCTCAGACAGTGAACCAAGGGTTTCATGGTTAGTGTGTTCGGACGGTGAACCTGAGGCTTCATGGTTAGTGTGCTCAGACAGTGAACCAAGGGTTTCATGGTTAGTGTGCTCGGACAGTGAACCTGAGGCTTCATGGTTAGTGTGCTCGGACAGTGAACCTATGGTTTCATGGTTAGCGTGCTCGGACAGTGAACCAAGGGTTTCATGGTTAGTATGCTCTGACGGTGAACCTGAGGCTTCATGGTTAGTGTGCTCTGACAGTCAACCAAGGGTTTCATGGTTAGTGTGCTCTGACAGTGAACCTGAGGCTTCATGGTTAGTGTGCTCGGACAGTGAACCTGAGGCTTCATGGTTAGTGTGCTCTGACAATAAACCTAGGGTTTCATGGTTAGTATGCTCGGACAGTGAACCTGGTTAGTATGCTCGGAAAGTGAACCAAGGGTTTCATGGTTAGTATGCTCAGACAGCGAACCTGAGGCTTCATGGTTAGTGTGCTCGGACAGTGAACCTGAGACTTCATGGTTAGTGTGCTCAGACAGTGAACCTAGGGTTTCGTGGTTAGTGTGCTCTGACAGTGAACTTGAGGTTTCATGGTTAGTGTGTTCGGACAGTGAACCAAGGGTTTCATCGTTAGTGTGCTCGGACAGTGAACCTAGGGTTTCATGGTTAGTGTGCTCGGACAGTGAACCTGGGGCTTCATGGTTAGTATGCTCGGACAGTGAACCAAGGGTTTCATGGTTAGTGTGCTCAGACAGTGAATCTAGGGTTTCGTGGTTAGTGTGCTCAGACAGTGAACCAAGGGTTTCGTGGTTAGTGTGCTCGGACAGTGAACCAAGGGTTTCATGGTTAGTGTGCTCAGACAGTGAACCTAGGGTTTCGTGGTTAGTTTGCTCTGACAGTGAACCTGAGGCTTCATGTTTAGCGTGTTCAGACAGTGAACTTGAGGTTTCGTGGTTAGCAGCCCGTTTGCTCTCTGAACTTTGGGACCATGGGTGAGCTTTGCGAATGGCACTCGAATCCAACTATCTAGTCGGATAAAAATAGCTGAAGAGTTGGCGGTGGGTGATGTTGACTTGCTTCCTTCTCTCTAATTTGTTAGTTCAAAATTACAGACGATTATGCCTTTTGTGTAGCTTTGAACAAAAAATTCTGAAGCAAACAAACCTTCGCTAAAAGAATTTTCCTGTTGGTTATCAAAGGCAAGAAACCCAACATTCGTTCAATATTTAGATCACCACAATTAGCTCTGGATTTCAAAACTGGCAAGTCGAGTTCGAATCAGAGTGAACACAAAATATTTCCAGCACTTCAAGTTGTAGGTGCGTTATAAGAGCGACTGTAAAACCCTTATCGTGGATGGTGGGTTAAAGAGTGCTACTGACTGGTTGTATATTTGATCCTCATTACCTTGATAATCCGTCTAAGTGTGTATATTTGATCCTCATTACCTTGATAGGCCTGTATAAATGTGGATATTTGACCCTCATTACCTTGATAGGTCTGTCTAAGTGTGTATATCTGATCCTCATTACCTTGATAACCCGTCTAAGTGTGTATATTTGATCCTCATTACCTTGATAGGTCTGTCTAAGTGTGTATATTTGATCCTCATTACCTTGATAACCCGTCTAAGTGTGTATATCTGATCCTCATTACCTTGATAGGCCTGTATAAATGTGAATATTTGACCCTCATTACCTTGATAGGTCTCTATAAGTGTGTATATTGGATCCTTATTACCTTGATAGGTCTGTCTAAGTGTGTATATTTGATCCTCATTACCTTGATAGGCCTTTCTAAGTGTGGATATTTGATCCTCATCCACAGCATCCCTGATACGGAGAACATGACGAAGAGAGCTTCACTGAAGGCCGTGTAGTTGATAAGTGTGTAGACTTGTACAGTGGTCAGGTAGGCCAAGCTGAGAAGACCCTGTAAAGTAACATTTTCCTACATCTTTAGACAAGAAAATAATGAGCCAGTAAAAGTGAAAATGAAGAATTTTCTTAACTATTTAGATTTTGGAAAGAAAAACCCTACCCGACAAGAATCATCGAGATTAAATACCAGGTACATTTTGATTAAAAGTGTACGTGAAAACCAGTTATATATCTAATGAAGTTAAAAATAAATTCTGTTTTTTTTTTCGTGCTTATTTTGACACCAGAAAAATCGCGAAGAACACAGAAAAATCGAAAACTACTTGGCACCTATACCAAATCTCATATAAGTTGGTTGACATTTGGCACCTATACCAAATCTCATATAAGTTGGTTGACATGCACGTGCATAGTTCACGAAAACCTAAAATTGTGGTTTCTTCGCTAAAAAAAATTGATGAAAAAAACAAAATTCTAAATTGTCTATGTATCTGTTTGGGTCCTGTAAAAAAAAAAAAGTCACTTTGTACCAAATCCCATGTAAGTTGGCCGAAATACGGCGGAGTGAATGTCAAAAAACCCTAAAATTATGCTTTTTGTGGCATATTGATCCCCCCTACAATTACTAAGTTCATCACTTTTGTTTATAAGTTTGTGGGATCCATAGAAAAGAATCTTTGTATCAAATTTCATGTAAATTGGTCAAAATACGGCTGAGTAATTGACCCAAAATTTTTATTTGTGCTAATTTTCATCTTGATTGCTGTAAATATTACCGTACAGGAGCCCAAAGTATAAATTTTTGGATTATTGACCTTTGACCCCACACAATCCTTAAAAAAGGTCGAAATAAAAATAAAATTAAAAAGGAGTCTGTGCGTATTAAACCAAGGTATAACTCTACCAAGTATCAAGTTAATCCGCCGAGAAATGAAGGAATGGTGATCGATTGAAAAGTGTTTGGAACAAAACAGAAAGAAGAAGAAACAATAGAAAAAAAAACAGTATTTCTTTCTGCGGAGACAACCAGATTTATAGACCTGTATTCCATTGTTGGCTCATTCTTTGGTAGGTATGACTTTTTACTGTTTTACAGCTTTAGTCTTACTTGAATTACACTATATCAAGAACCAAATTTCTCTCGTTAAAAACATGCACGGGGCACGGCATGGTCAGGTGGTTAGAGCGCTCGACTCGGAATCTGAGGGTCGAGGGTTCGAATCCCCGTCACACCAAACATGCTCGACTTTTTAGCCGTGAGGGCATTATTATGTGACGGTCAATCCCCCTATTCGTTGCTAAAAGAGTAGCCCAAGAGTTGGCGGAGGGTGGAGATGATTAGCTACCTTCCCTCTAGTCTTACACTGCTAAATTAGGGACGGCAAGCACAGATAGCCGTCGTGTAGCTTTTGGGCGAAAGTTCAAAATAAACAAACAAACAAAACATGCATGAAAAAAAAGCAATAGCGACACTCGCTTTCTTTAATTCTGTAAATCATATTCCAGAAAATAAAATGAAAGGCACATAATTACTTGTTTTACTCACCAAAAATATAAGGCTAGATTCTGGTGTATAACGGTACAGGTTAATCATGGCTAAGCAGCTTGGAAGATGACCTTCTCTTGCGCCGACAAAAAAAATCCTGCAAGCATAACCATTTCACTATAATAGACGTAGCGTTTATATATGTATCTATCTACGTATGTGACCGAAATAATAAATACAATGCAAACATGACCATTCTACTATAATGGACGCATCATTTGTATATGTATCTATCTACGTATGTGACCGAAATAATAAATAAAATTTAAGCATGACCATTTTACTATAATGGACGTTTGTATATGTATCTATCTACGTACGTGACCGAAATAATAAATACAATGCAAACATGAACATCTGACTATAATGGACGTAGCATTTATATATGTATCTATCTACGTATGTGACCGAAATAATAAATACAATGCAAGCATGACCATTTTACTATAATAGACGTAGCGTTTATATATGTATCTATATGTGACTGAAATAATAAATATAATGCAAACATGACCATTTTACTATAATGGACGTAGTGTACTGGATAGTGTACTAAGAATCCAAGAACAGTGATTGACACAGTGTACTGGATAGTGTACTAAGAATCCAAGAACAGTGACTAACACAGTGTACTGGATAGTGTACTAAGAATCCAAGAACAGTGACTGACACAGTGTATTAGAGACAGTGTGTTTAGAATCCAAGAACAGTGACTGACACAGTGTATTAGAGACAGTGTGTTTAGAATCCAAGAACAGTGACTGACACAGTGTATCAGAGACAGTGTGTTTAGAATCCAAGAACAGTGACTGACACAGTGTATCAGAGACAGTGTGTTTAGAATCCAAGAACAGTGACTGACACAGTGTGTTTAGAATCCAAGAACAGTGACTGACACAGTGTATTAGAGACAGTGTGTTTAGAATCCAACAACAGTGACTGACACAGCATATTAGAAATAGTGTGTTTAGAATCCGACAACAGTGACTGACACAGCGTATTAGAGACAGTGTGTTTAGAATCCAACAACAGTGACTGACGTACTGTATTGGAAACAGTGTGCCCAAAGCTATCTATTGGCATGACTGACACAGTGTATTAGAGACAGTGTGTTTAGAATCCAACAACAGTGACTGACGTACTGTATTGGAAACAGTGTGCCCAAAGCTATCTATTGGCATGACTGACACAGTGTATTAGAGACAGTGTGTTTAGAATCCGACAACAGTGACTGACACAGCGTATTAGAGACAGTGTGTTTAGAATCCAACAACAGTGACTGACGTACTGTATTGGAAACAGTGTGCCCAAAGCTATCTATTGGCATGACTGACACAGTGTATTAGAG